CTTAGGGGGGGGGGGGGGAGGAGGGGGTTGTCAAAATATGAACAGAGAATGTGGTTTCACTACGAGAACAACGCACGAAAAGCACCCAAAAAAATAAATGAATAAACAAAAACAAAAACAAAAATCTTGGGACACCTGCTTGGCCGCCTCCTCACGACGAAGCATATCCCCTATTCCGGCGGCGGTGGCATCCTCCACGAGGGACGTCACCAGCTGCCGGGCCTCCACGGGGGACAGCCCCTCCAGAGCCTTGAACTCACGGGGCCCCAGGCCGGAGGCGTCGCGGCGGCCGTCGACACTGGTGCTCTCGTCGTCGCACACGGTACTCCGACCCTGGGACATGGCGAACCAGACGGAGGGGAACGGGGACAGCTTTAACGGCCGTGGGGGGGGGTGATGAGGCCACACAAATCGTGAAGGAGGAGGGGGGAGCGCAAATCACGAACTGTCCTCGATGCTGCCGTGCACGGTAAATGGAGGAGGGTGGCACACTCATGCCAATCAATTACAATGCTGGGGGAGGAGGACGCAAAAAACGTTAATGATGAATAAAAACAAAACAAAACGAAAAACACGTTGTAAAATATTTGCACGTGTGGAAGACAGGAATAGGAAATAGATATCGGTACGCCAAGTCAGTGGGTAGACAGCCGTAAAGGCCAAGCACGATGACCATGTCCAGAAACAAAAAATAAGACGCCGAATCGATGCACGTGGGCGCACGGGAACAGGCAGGCGCGAAAATAAAGGTAGACAGGTCCGTGTCTACTGCTTTGTGTGCTCACCTGGAAGCTGTCACCCATGCCCAAGCGACGGCACATGTCGTCCAGCTCCACCCCGACCATCTCGAGTCGCTCCTGCGTCTCGTCCACAGCCTGCGTTGTCGTCATCACCGTAAGCGACCGAACAACGCGAAACACGCAGGGTCAGTCATTGGTACCCTTCGACGAAACAATAAATGCGTTACCCAGGGCAGTAGGTGTGGGACCACGGGTGCCAATGCGTCTGGAGAGGACACCCGAAGGTGTCAAGACGGACGTCCAGAATAAGTGGGACCACACACACGGGAGCAGGAGCAGGGGCAGCAGCAGCAGCAGCAGCAGCAGCAACGACAGTTAATGGAAGCCCATCTGGTTCCCCCAACATTTGAGGGCTTGCACGTGTAGAGCGTTAGTAGCTGTGGGTTGTTTGTATCGTTGCACGCATCGCAATACCGCCAACAAAAGCAACAAGGGCAACAGCGACAACAACAACGACAACGACAACAGTACTGTACTAAACACAACAACGACGACAGCAGCAGCGGCAGCGGCAGCGGCAGCGGCAGCGGCAGCAGCAGCAGAACAGCAACAACGGACGAACAACTGCCAAGAGTTGAACAAGGAAGGGCAACATGACACACTAACTTACCTTTTCGGTCTCCTGTATGAGGGCCTCAAGTACAGCCCTTTGGCCGTCAAGGGTGTCCATGTCACCACCGATAGACGACGATGTTGACGACGGCCTCCCGGCTACCGGAACTCCTCCCGCCTTCTTCTGACCCTTGCCGCCCGTGCTCCCGACTAAGAAAAAAAACACACACACACACACATCGCCTTTAGAATAGTTTTCTGTTTCATCGCGGCACTGAGGCTGACGCCTTTTAACTGGTCAGTCGTTTAGCGCGGTCGATGCAAAATATTCAAAGCTCAATTGCTCCATAACCAAGAGGGCGCGGAAAGAGCCCAGTACGTCTACGGAAAGCCCTCGGCGAGATGTTTCCAGAACAACCATTTTGGGTGTTAGCGCCACATTGGCTGTGGATCAATCGAGTTTTGAAAGTCGGTCTACTGGGGTTGTCATCTCCCCGCCTTTTACGGTACAGCAACAGCAACCTAAGAAACCGCACTGCAGCAATCTCCACACGAAGCAACTACCACCATCGTATCGCTCACACGAACGGCCGTGCCACACACCACCATCCCGACAACAACAATAATAAGGACGGTAGCAACGTCACCAACACCAACACCAACACCAACACCATCGACAACAACAACACCGACATACAAGACGCACCTCCAGAGTGGGTTCATCGGAGCAGAGCAGTAGTACTATAGTAGTGTCATCAAGGCGTGATGCAAGAGCCAACTGCCATCAGCGACGTTTCACAAGCTCGAACAGCTGACACAGCTGGCGAGTTTTCGCCTCGAAGAGCCCCGCGGACTCCAATGAACCCAAAAGAACAATAACCCATCTGTAACACCACCACCACCTACAACAACGGCCCCGGGGTCGACGTTATCGGCGCCAGCATCGCCACCACCACCACCAACAACACCAACAACAGCGGCAACGACAACAACCCAATCACACAACTCACACGAGCGGCCGCCTCGCGTTGCCCCCGGGTCGACGTTCTCAGCGCCAGCATCGCCAGCAGCATCGCCACCACCAGCCTCCTCCTGCTTGACGGTGGCCTTGAGCTCCCGTAGCTGCGCGCGGTAGTCCCTCAGCATGCCGATGTTGCACACCTTCGCCCGGAGGCAAGGCAGAAAGCGACGGCAGACTTTGATCGCGTGCTTCATGGTGTTTTAATACTAGCGTCGGTGTGATACTTTTAGCGCCGACACTCGTGCCGAAAAAATCGGTGAAGGGTGGTGGCGCCGAAACGTTGCGATGGACCGATGAACACACAAAGAAAAACGAACGCCAAGTCTGACGCGAGTCCCACACTCGACCCTTGTAGCCCCACAGCAGTGTTGTCATGCTGATGTACATTGTAGCAAACGCGAACGAATAAAAGAAAGAAAGAAGGAAAGATGGAAAGAAGGAAGGAAAGAATGAAACGAAAAAAAAATACAAATTTGACCCGTTCTCAAAAGAACTCGACCATCACCGAAAAGCAAAAAAAAAAAAAAACGCTCCGCACACACCCCTCTTCCACACACCATCCACCACCATAAAAAACAACAGCACTCTGTCCGTCCTCCATACCTGCTGCGAGGTCCGCTCGTCGTACGAGCGAATCTTGTTCGAGAAGTCCTGCCGGAGAGACGCCCGCTCCACCTTGGAAGCGATGGCCTGGTCCAGGAGGTGCTTCGCCGCAGAGACCCTGGCTTCGCCGACCTCGGCAGCGGCGCTTGCGGCAGCGGCGGCCGCCTTCTCGGATCGGCCTGATCTCGATCGATCGTTGTTGCGTTTTGGGTTGCGCCGCATCATGCAGAAAGGCACAGATGATATCACGTGGGGAAGAAAAGTGAGGTAAAACAGGGGAGCGAAGTGGGGGGAAAAAAACGTAACAGATGTAGAAAGAGCAGTAAGACAAGCGCATCGATAGTTGGCCTGGGTTGTGCCGCGTCATGCACGAAGGTTGACGGCACCACGTGACGAAGAAAATGGTAAAAAAGAGTGAAACGTAGGGACAAAAAACAAAGTCATTGGTTGGTGTGTTTACGGTTATGCCGCGTTACGCACGATCGTAGATAAACATAACGGAAGGAACAAAAAAGAGCAGCAACCAAGAAATGCACCGTAGAAAAAAAAAAAAAAAGCGGGTGAATTTGATTCCACAGAACGAGGCTAAAAACGAAGGGAAAATCTGTGCCGCAAGATGTCATCCTGTCGCCCAGACGAGCCAAGATCAACGTCCCAACATACCGCGAAGATACGGCAATTCTGTCTGTGCGGGGTGTCGAAAAAACATGTTATTTCCTTCTGGAAAAGTGCGATGACGGCGAGTTTGACGAGGTATTTGCGAACATATTTGACGTGCCCCCTCCAGTACTGCTTTGTAGGGATGCGAGGTCAATGGTTCAACGACTACGGCATGCACGACGATGAGTACCCCCCCCCCCCCCCCCCTCCTTTTTCCCCTCACCCCCCCCTGGGTCAACAAAAGGCCCCCCCCGGGTTGTTTC